TATGTGCGGAATGCGAACGGAATTTCGGAATATGTGCGGAATGTGAATGGAAATTCCGTATATTATTTTTCATAGGGCATTATCTATAACTTTTATATTTTTTAATTCATAATTTACCCAACAATAAAGTTAAAAATTGGTAATTATAATTGGAGGTTGAGAATGCTACATTTATTTGTTGGCTCTCATTCATTAATTCATTCGCCTAAGCTCTAAATCCTATAAAGAACATATCAAATACACAATGAATCTCGATTTAACGGACCTCGATTTAATGGGTACTAATTAAAAAACTCGGTTTTACGTACAAAGTTCAAAGAACGGTTCCATAATAAAAACCTTCTCGATACAGTGGATATCTCGGTTTAACGGATTTTTGGAAAATTTTCCCTGATTGCCCAAACTATCCGCTAAATCGAGATTCACTGTGTATTTATGTGGTTTATGTGATCTGTAAAACATAAAATAATAGAAGTATTATTTTATTATTCAATTGTATGAAAAAGAACTTATCAATTATTCCTGAATAGTAAAATATAGATCATTAAACTTGGACAACTGCTGTTTTTACTAAAGGGTATAAATGCAATTATCGACAGGCCAATGTAATATATCTATTTAGTAATGACAAATTGCAATAACAAATGATCATATATCTGAATAAATTATATTTGTTGTTATTAAATGTATTAAAGGCATTGAATGTTAAAATCATGTTGTCTCGTCTATTTATCTATTTCTATTTATAATACGATGTACTGTGTAACCGCTTACCCTTAAATGTTTAGTTCGTGATCTACCAGTTAAGGAATAACGCCGATCCGAGGATTTTGCAAATCTCATCTTTTAAAAAAAATTTTATATCAAATGTCACCACCAGAAAATCCTATATTATCAAGGCTTCGCTCACATGACAGCAATGGATCTCCTGATATTCCTGAATTAAACTTTAATGATAATAATGAAGCTAATTCCACTAAAAAAGTTCGACTTGATAATCATGTTATTGCTTCTGAGCCAAACGAGTCGACGTCTCCTTCTAAACGATCTAATAGAAGAAAAGTACCAATAATATCAAAAGAAGTACAAGATGGTGGTGAAGATGGCGGTTCTACTGTTAATACTACCATAAGTGAGATTAATAATGATAAATCATCATCCAAAAAAACAAATAGTAGAAGAAAGAACAAATCAGTAGTAGCGACCGATCTAAAAAGTAATACCGTTTCACCATTTAGACGAATTACCAGGGGATATTCCAAATTAATAAATAAAGATCAAATTGAAAATAATACTCATGCTGAGAAGGTTATGGTTGCAAAGACCGAATCACATACAAAAGCTATTGATGAAAAGGCATTAGATAATTCTAATGAAGTTGAAGATGTCGTTGATACATTAACGCCTGATAGTAATAATAATAATATAAATTTGATTAAAAGTTCATCCAAATCAGAGATGAATAGCAACAGCAACAAACAACATATTCAAATTGATGTTCAAAAAAAAAAGATCGAGATCTCTGTTGAGGAGAAAGAGGGGTTACGTGTTGTTATTTTCAATAATAACGGCAATAATAATAGAGAACAACATGATGTTGAAATGTTAAATAACAATATAACTGAAGATGTAATTAATGTTGAAAATAATAATCAGAAGCAACAGGGCAGTGAAGAATTGTTAAATAATGAGTTATCTACAAATCAGTCATCGCCGTCATCTTTTACCCACCGTGTTGAAATTGAAAACAATGATGATAATACAGCTAAAGAGATAGCACCGGTTGAAAATCGTCAAGATGTTGACATAGTTAACAAGTTGACTGCTGTTGAAAACAATCAAGGTGAGTATGTTGAAATTAAAAACAATGATGATAATACAACTAAAGAAGTAACGCCTGTTGAAAATAATCAAGATCAACAAAGCGTTGGAATTAATGATGATGATGATGATATAATTAACAAGTCAATAATAACTGTTAAAAATAATCAATGTGAAAAAGATGTTGAAGTGTCGACTAATGATGTTGATATGGTTGATGAGTTGGTTATAGCTGAAGATAATCAAAATGTACAAGATGTTGAAATGTTAACCGATGATGATGGTATAGATAAAGAAGTAATTCCTGTTGAAAATAACCGAGATCAACAAGATGTCGAAATATTAACCAATGATGTTGATATAGTTAATGAGTTGACTACCGCAGAAAATAATCAAGACCTACAAAGTGTTGGAGTTAACAATGATGATGATGATGATGATGATGATGATATAATTAACAAGTCAATAATAACTGTTAAAAATAATCAATGTGAAAAAGATGTTGAAGTGTCGACTAATGATGTTGATATGGTTGATGAGTTGGTTATAGCTGAAGATAATCAAAATGTACAAGATGTTGAAACGTTAACCAATGATGATGATATAGATAAAGAAGTAATTCCTGTTGAAAATAACCAAGATCAGCAAGATGTCGAAATATTAACCAATGATATTGACATAGTTAATGAGTTGACTACTGTAGAAAATAATCAAGATCTACAAGTTGTTGAAATTAAAAATAAATATGTTGACATAGTTAACAAATTGATTACTATAGAAGATAATATAGGTGAGAAAGATGTTGAAATTAAAAATCAAGATGATGATATAGCTAAAGAGGTAATGCCTGTTGAAAATAATCAAAATCTACAAGTTGTTGGAATATTAAACAATGATGTTGATATAGTTGACAAGTTGACTACTGTTGAAAATAATCAAGATGCTGAGATTAGAAATAATTATGATAATACAACTAAAGCAGCAACTCTGGTTGAAAATAATCAAGGTCAACAAAGTGTTGAACTTAATGATGATGATGATCTAGTTAACAAGTCGATAACTGTTGAAAATAATTCATGTGAAAAAGATGTTGAAATATTAAAAAATAATATTGATATAGTTAACAAGCTTGAAAATAGCCAAGGTGAAAAAGATGTTGAAATTAAAAATCAAGATGACGATATAATTAATGAGCGGACAATCGTTGAAAATAACCAAGGTGAACTAGCGGCTGAAATTCAAAATAAAAATAATGACATAGCTAACGATTGTACAACTGCTGAACCTAATCAATTAAAACAAGACGTTGAAATTAACCAAGGACAGAAAGATCTTGAAATTAAAAATATTGACATATCTAAAAGTACAAAGGCAAGCTTTGACGATGACATGGAAATTGAATATACTAATGTTGAAGAAAACCAAAACAAAAAATCTAAAAAAAGGTTTGATTTTATTTTTTTCAATTATTAATTAATTATTAATTAATAATATCGTCTTAATTAAAATTACAGAAAGCATACACTGGATGTAAATTCAAATAAAAAGATAAAAAAGTCGATGCAAAAAAAGAGGAAAAAATTGAATGATAAAAAAAATAATGGGTAAACATTTCATTAAACTCTTAATGGAATCCAATTTTAATGATTTTTTAATGATAAAAATAATAAAATTTCCTATTAGGTCGATATCTGTAATTGCATTGGAATCACAGTCTAATGATTCGATAAAAATAAATAAGGAAGTTAATGATTTTAAAACAAATAGAACAATTGGAAGGCTTCAAAGCAAAAATGTTATCTTCAATTTTGGTCAGGGCAAAAATGGTCCATCATTAAAATTCAGAAGATAATTTTTATATGAAATTTTATTTATTTTTAAATTATATAATAAATCTTGGTTTATTTATATCAAATATAAAATTTTTTTTATTATGTGATTTTTTACAACTGGCTTTATTAATTAAAATCGCTCGTAACACACTGAATTTCCACTGTTATTTCTCATAAATCATAATCATAATTAACATAATTAACAATAAACAATGTCTTTACCAGAGGATGCTTTACATAAGGTAAAAATTATAAAAAATAAGATAAAAGGAAAACAATTATTGATGTTTTTTATTGTAACGATCTTTTTTTAATAAAGGTATTAATGGAATTACAAACTCGTTTACTAGAGAATAATCGACAATTGAACATTGTGAAAACACAAATCCAGACCAAAGAACGAGAAAAACGTTTTGCAGAACTTACAAAACATGAATTATCAAGTTTGAATGAAAATATAAGAACATATAAATCTGTTGGAAAAGCGTAAATATTTGATTTTTCTAAAAAAAAAAAAAAAAACAATTAATATGGATTGATTAATTTAAAATTTTTTTTTTAGATTTATTAAAACTGATATAAACATATTAAAATCAGATCTTGAAACAACAATTACAAAAACTGTGTCGGATTTAACAGCATTAGGAAAATCAAAAAAATATATAGAAAGAAATATTAGTGATTCAGAAGCTGGTTTAAGAGAAATTATTGGTCGTCCTTTAAGTAATATTGATAATAAGCCTTAGCTATCCTGAAAAAAAAGAAATAATATGTAAGAATTGATTGATTGATTTGATTATTGGTCACATATACCAACTAATGATACTTGCTAATTATTTTATTATTATTAAATATTTTATAAATATTCCTTTTAAAATGTTCTAATATAATACAATATTAATGCTTTTTTTAATATATATAAGATTTTTTTTAAATAAATTCATGTGAAAAAAAAAAAAGAAATCCTCCAAAAATAAATTTTTAAAAAAAATCTAAATGTATGAATGACAGATTATATGAAATTAAAAAAATTAAATTAAAAAATTAAAAATGTCTTTTTAAAAAAAAATAATAATAAAAATAATAAAACTAATAATAAAATAATTTTTTATTATTGTAAATTAGAATAATTGTTTTTATGCAGATTAATCAATCAATCAATCATCATATTAATAAAACAGAATCAGGCCTAACAAAAATACCATGATTATTTGCGGCTGCAAAATATTTTATGTTTGCCACAGTTCCATTATTCTTGCCATCTAAATAATATAAAAAAATAAATTAATAATGATGATAATAATAATAAATGCTCATTCAATAATGACAAGCAACTTACCAGAATCATCCAATTCTACTCCAACCCAAATACCTTTGGCAAATTCAGTCTCACCCAAAAATTGTATGGTACCGGATGCATTACCCTTGGTTGGAATTATAACACGCCTACCAATCGAAATATCAGGATTGAGAGATGTGGCAAACTTGATTTGAAATGGCTTGGGTTGTATACTGGTAACTAAATTACCCGAAAATGGTGAGACAATGGATGCTGCTTGTGAATTTCGTGATGGCGATCGCTTTCTACGTTGATGATGTGATGATGTTGTTGTTGCGTTGCTTGTGACCGATGATACAGATACTATAGAATTTGCTCTTGATGAGTTTGGTGAGATACCGCTGCGTTCTCTATCACGTCCACGTTTTTGATCTGTATTATCATATTTCATTTGTCGTAATATGCTAGACCTTGTTTGCCTTACTCCTCCATATCTTGATGGTGAAACAGATGGTGAAACAACAGATCTAATTGATGACACTGATGATGCACGTGATGATGAAGGTGATGTACTTTTTTTGTTGGGAGAGCGCCCTCTTGATGTTCTTGATGAGCTTGACCCATTAGGAACTTTGAGATTTGAAGTTGATTTAGATGATCTGATAGATGGACCATTTATTGACTTATTTGAACTAATTGGTGATGTTTTTGTCGGGATTGTTGTTAATAGTGATAATGATTTTTGTTTAGGTGTTGATTTTGGTCTGGGTTTTATAGGATTTTTTGCATCCTCTAATGCTTTTTGTCGTAATATACTAGCACGAGTTGGGCGCGGAAAAAGTGTCGAAGAAGTTGCACTACCAACTCTAGCGATTTTGTTTTTATTTGGTAAACTTTTGATATTATTATTATTATTACTACTATTATTACTATTATTACTTTTACTATTATTATCATTACTGTCATCATTAATGTTATCATTACTATTATCTTTAATGTTACTATTACTGTCATCATTAATGTTATCATTACTATTATCTTTAATGTTACTATTACTGTCATCATTAATGTTATCATTAATGCTATCATTACTGTCATCATTAACGTTATCATTAATGCTATCATTACTGTCATCATTAATGCTATCATTACTGTCATCATTAATGTTATTATCATTACTGTTATTGTTATCATTACTATTACTGTTATCATTAATATTATCATTACTATTGTCATTAGAACTTGTTGAGTTGTTAGTTTCTTGTAAACTAATTGCAGATCTTTCAAATATTTCATTGATTTCTTCATTTGTTATTATTGATAGATCGTCGTCTGGTGTTGTTGATAAAACGCCCGTTATTGGTGAAGTTATTATTATTGGCGAAATTTCTGTTTTTGTTTTTGTTGTAGTGGTAGCATCAGTTGTTCTTGTAGGTGGTGATGGTGGTGATGGTGGCGGCGATAGTAGGGATGGTGGTGATGGTAGTGATGGTAATGACCGCGGTGATGGTAATGGTGGTGGCGGTGGTGGTGGTGGCGGTGATGGTAGTGATGGTAGTGATGTTAATGGTGGTGGTGGTGAATCTTCTGTTGTCGTTATTGAAATTTCTATTGAAACTTCTTTTGTTATAACTATTGGTGAGAATTCTGTAAAAGGTTCTGCAAAAGGTTCTGTTATTGGATTTGAATCTTTTGATGTTTCTGATGAATCTTCTGTTAATATAGCTGATACCGTCGATGTTATTGTGGATGATATAGATGATGTAGATGATGATGCAGACGATGTAGATGATGCAGAAGATGACGATGATGATGATTTTGTAGACGATTTTTTTGACGATGATGATGATGGCAAAGGCGGTGGTAATGGCGGCAATGGTGGTAGTGCCTTCAATATTTCTGATGAAGTATCATCATTATTATTAGTTTCTTTTGAAGAAATGCTTCTCAAACTTGATAAACTTGGTCTAGGCGATATTCGGTTCTTTAAATTATGGTGTGTTTGTGATGGATTGGCGACTGTCAGTAGTTCTTGAGTACTAACGCCAAGACTGTGTGAAAATTCTTCTAGCAGCCAAGAGTTTAACAATTTAAAACCACCATTTTGTCTTATATTCAAACAATGTCTTTTCATGTATTCAAACACATATTGTTTTGATTCAACCAATATTCTTTTTGTCTCAATACTTTTTGCATTAATAACAGCAGGTCTAGTTAATAATTTACTTGATATGCTTTTAAGTACTTTAGCAGAATTCTGTTCATTCAAGCCTTCATGTACAACACCTGACATAATGTCCTCTAAAAATCCATGACTATAACCAACACCATCAACACAATCCAAAAATTCATGTCCCTCATTACATACCTGTTCAAAATTTTCTACTAATACCTTTATGGCAGAAGATTTCACTTGTTTAGTCATTTTGCGCACTACCCCTATCCAAGGGGAGTCTGTTATATTTTTGACATTCATTGTTGATATGATTTTCCTACAACCTTTAAATATTGACATGATATCACTATTTTGAATGTTTGTCACAAGTGCCAGCAATATCTCTTCCCTTACTATCCCATCAAGTTCAGCAAAATTCTTATGAGGCCACATAATATCAAAGCCTTTTGTTAAAACGTGTAAACAACCCTGCCATAATTTCTTAACATCGTATTCTTTTGCAAAAGCAGCAACACTGGGCATAGCAATTTGACATTCGGAACAAGTACATGTGAAATAATGAAGTCTTGTTGCGATTCTATGAATACAATCTTCGCAAAGATTCTTTATCCCTAAATAATAAGAACCCACCCAGATCCATTCACAGGTTTCTAAAGTTAATGAATATTCTAAATTACCGGTATAAATATATTCAAGTATTATATTAAAAGCAGCTTGACTGAATATTGAAGTGTCCAGATATATGGTAGCAGCCTTGGGATCCATAGGATTTGAAGAGCTTAAAATCTCCCTAAAATATTCAGATCTTGCCGCTAACATGAATTTATGGGCTTTAAAAGTCACCGATCTAACTAAATCTAGCTCTTCGTCCTCTTCACTTATGATTTCTAGGCTATCTTGTGGCGGATACTCCAAAATTATTTCAATGTCGGTGTACAATTTTGATTTGTACATGTATATTAAATCTTCCTTTAATTTATCCTGTTCCAATTCATCTGTTGTGTCTACAGCTGCCAAAAATTCCTCGCTACCTTCCTCACCAGTATAAAAAAAGTTTAATTCTTGTTGAAATAAAATAGGATCGGCATCTGTTTTAACAATTATTGCGTCAATTAGGGAGTCTAGATTTGACAACCTGACCGATTTTATGGACATTCCATTTGAATCTCTATTTTTTAGAAAACGTTCTTGAAATGAACGTGAACTTCTTGCATATAAAATTGCTATTATGTAATGATTATATATGATCTAATTAATCAAAGTTTTTTACCATTAAAAAATCTTTAAATAGTGAACACAATACCTTTATGAGCAAAAATAATGGTTTGATCAAGTGTGAACGTGAATTCCCAAGCTACATCAGCATATAAGTCATCGGCATGTTCAAGTGCAAACCTCAAATCTTCAATCAAACTATCTTTAGGAGGAGTAGCATAATCTATGTCAGGTGGTGGTAATATATTGTTTTTTCTTCTGTCTGAAAACATGAACTGTTAATATATTATTTAATTAATTGTTAAGAGGTTATAATATATGTTAAATACGAATAATAATAACTTGATTAAATTATGATTAAAATAAAGTTAAAAAAATTGAAAAATTAAAGAGAGTAAAGAAATTTGTTATATTATTTATTTTTTTATTGTAATATTTAAAAAATAAAATATTTTATTATTGCATACATTAATTATATATATGTATATGCAATGTAAGACATATGATTGATTAATTAATAAAACAAATAAAAAAAAAAGAATGTTTAATTATGTTTTTAATTTTTAAGAAATAAAAAGAGTGTGAAGGTTAAAAATTATTTAAAAAAAAATTATATTTTTTTTCTTTTCGTACAAGAGTAAAAATCCCCCCCTCAAGAATCTTAATATTAAAATAAAAATAAAAATAAAAACAAAATTAAATTTTCATTCGTGTAATGTGGAAAATCCACCAATAGAAAATTCATCTTTTAAATTAATATATAGTAATAGTGTCTCGTCAATTTATTAGTATTACAGTATTTTAATAGTGCAACAATCAATCACATCCGTAGTTGTACTTAAAAATTTTTTATTTTGAATCAATTGTTTTAAAATTATTCTTTATTATTAATAACGTCATCATCATCATTATAATTATTATTATTATTGAAAAAACGAATCGCCTGATTCGGTGTCTTCGTCTTCGTCGTCATCGTCATTTGATCCTGGTTCAGAGACTACATATTCATCGGGTTCCGAGGGTTCCACTTCAGATTCTGATCCAAATATTTCCTTATATCTGGAGCTAACGGATTCGGGAACAGATGATGCTGTGCCTGTTGTTTCTTTTGATCCATTACTAGTTGTGGAAGCGGTGGAACTTGTAGAGATCGAACGACTCATGGGTTCTGTCATTATTTCACTAGTATCGACGGGACTAATTACAACTGAAACTGCGTTTACACTATTATTAATGTTATTATCGGTGTTATTTGAAACATCTATTTTTCTCCTTCTACTAGTGGTACTTGTGGTGTTATTATTGAGTATATAATTATCATCAACATAATTGGTGTTGCTATCTTCTTCTTCTACTTCCTCTTCAAAGCCGTCGTTTTTGTCTTCGTCGTCAGCAATTTCTTCATATCTTCGTTTAGTTACAATTTTATCATTTTCACATACTCTTTTAGATCTTGTCATGTAATGACTCGAAGACGTAACATGATTGTCGTCATTTCGTGTACTTGATGTGTTATTATCAAGACCTGCTGCCCTTCTAGCACCACTACGTGTCCTGCTTGATATGATTTCAATATTTGCAAGTGTATCTGCTAAACGTTGTGCGTTTTTTTCTTTACGAATTCTTTTTGCATTAAGCTTCTCTTTTGCCTATTTAAAATTTTAAGGAGAAAAATAAACCAATCAACCAATCAATTAACTTTAAGGAGGAAAAAAATAATAATTAAATATTATTATTATGTAAAATATACTTCAATATCCTGTTTTATTTTTGGAATAAGTTCATTATTAATTTTATTTCGAAGTTGTTTGTCTTTTCCCGCTGAAGCCTTTAACTCGTTTGAATTATTGATATAGTTTTCTAATTCTTCAAGTGTGGTTGTTATTGGCTCCCAAATAATTTTTTTTTGATTTTTACTTTTGTTTATGATGGTGGTTTCACGATAAATTCTTGCACCCTCTAAATAAAAATATTATTTATTGTAAAGTATAAAAGTATTAAGTATAAAAGTATTATGTATAAAAAAGTATATACAAAAATAAGATAAACCCAAATATGTACGTCACTTACTTCCAAAATAATAGTATCCGCGTCCTTTTTTATCTTCGCCAAATGGCAAAACATCAATATCATTATTGCGAACCTTTCTTCCGATTTGAAAAATGGCTTCTCGTATTACATTAGACTCTTGTAATTGCCATGTGACTAATTTATTTAATATTAATACCTATATATTATATATGTTTATTTATAGTCACAAATGAGTATTCATGATTTTTATGATAAATTTTGATTATTATTATTATTATTATTATTATTATTATTATTATTATTATTATTATTATTATTATTATTACTAACTTTATCTTCAACATCAAGTTCATAATAGTCGTTGACTTGTCGTAAGGGATTATAATTTTGATAGAATTGATTATTCATTTTAATTTTTTTATCAATAGTTTCTGACAAGATTTTTTTCCATGCATTTCCTCTGTAATTAATTAATGAATTAATAAATTTCTTTTTAAAATTTAAAATTTTTCTTTATTAATTTCATCCATACTTACTCTATGAGTCTCTTTCGATTTAAACAATTAGTTAGAAATGCACAATGTATCTTTTCTACCAGTTCACTCTGTGCTTCTTGTGCGAGTGCATACTCAAGTTCCTATTTAAGCATATATATTAATCATAAATCCATCGCACATTATAATATATTATTTTACAGAATATTAAGAAAAAATACCTCTGGCCAAAATTCAATTCCCTTCAAGAGCGAACCAAATTTTTCACAAAATGCAATAATCACCGAAGTTTCTTTCATTGACTTTACAATGTTTGTATTTTCTTCTATCTGGTTAGCAGTATCAATAGTGTTGTTTGTAGTTGAGGATGAAGCGATTGCTGGTGACATTGAGCTTTGTTTTTTTAAACTTGACATGGTTAAAGCATGAGTATGTTTATTTTTTAAAAAAGAACAATTTTTCGTTTGGGAGGAAAATTTTATCTATTGTTGTTGTTAAAAATTTATTCTGATGATGATAATGAATTAAATTTTAATATTTAGATTTTGTGTAACAAAAAATTAAAAATAAACGATAAAAATGAATCAAAAATGTTCTCGCAACTTATCTAGCATACCGACATGTTTTTGCGGAAAAATTGCATCCTGTCGTCTATCAGAGAGACCGGGAATTCTTGTTTATGATTGTTATTATGTTAAACATGCTAATCCTTGGAATTTAGGGAGTTTACTTGAATATGACAATGAAAACCAAGCGATCACAAATGTAAAATACAAATTTTCTTATTTGTCAGAAGAGGTAGGCAAAATGTTTTTATTTATTTATATGTAAGAAATTACATCCAGTTATTGAATTCAGAGAGATGCTATTTAAAGGAAACTATTGAAGAATCCATTTCAATCACTCCACCCGCTTTATCTACTTCATTAACATCAACCACGGAAGAAATAGTTGATAATAACATTGAATCTGACCTTTGCAAACAAAAGGAAAATAGTATATGCGGTTTTCATGTACATCAACCAATATGGAATGAATTATGTTATGGAAGAGGATCGCAAAAGAATCATCCCGAGCTAAACACATGTCCTTTTTTCAACTTTACATATTGCGTTTTCTTTGAAACTATAAATGGTTTTCCCATCAATACGCCTTCTGTGCCAAGATGTTATTGTAACAAACCAATAGTTTTGAGAAGAATCGGTGCGAATAGTAATAATTTTGGAAAATGGTTTATGTCATGTGCAAGTTACCAAGTAATATATATATACAAATCTATATCAGTATTCATTATTGAATTCATGTTAATGTTTACCTTTTTCTATAGATACCAGGAGCAAGACCAAAATGTGCATGGTTTAAATGGCCCGGATTGGTTAAATATGATAGTAAAGATCAATGTAGTCATGATGATATTTACAGATTTGAACAAGTCTTGATTATTGAGGCAAGATATCAAAAATGGCAATATGAAAAGAATTTAGGAAGTAAATTGATTGCCAATTTACAAAAAGAAGTCGAAGAAATTTTATTAGCAAATGATGATAATAATAACGAACGATAATAGCAATGATGCTTTATGATGACGGTGATGACGATATATTAATAATAATTTTTATTACCAAAACAAACAATATGTCATGTGATCATGTGATTGTGTGATAATGTTTTAAAGAAACGACGTAATAAAAAAAAACGAATAAATAATCAACATTTTATTATGATGTAATTTTAATTTGTCCTAAACCATTTATGATATAAAGTTTTTTAATAAAAGCCGAATAATTATTCCTTTCAAAAATCCAAAAACACAAACCAAAAACACAAACCAAAAATCAAAATCAAAAAATCAAAATCAAAAAATCAAAATCAAAAAATAACAAAAATGAAACCAATAGAAAATATTCAATCGAAATACAAATATTATAATTCCCAAGCTGACAAAGATTTATCAAATTATTCATTAATGGTTATGTCAGAACGCTATACTGGAATTCCAAAAACTTATATTGCTACTAGCTTTGCTGTTACCTTCTTTATTTTGATCTTTTTCAATATCGGTGGAGAAATTTTCTCTAATCTTATTGGATGGGTTTATCCAGGTAGACAAGACATCCTATTATTACTATTAATATCATTACTACTAATTATTTTGTTCGTCTAACAATTAATTTATATATATATATATAAGCTTTTGCTTCTTTTAATGCTATCGAACACGGCAGCAAGGCTGATACTTCTCAATGGTTAACTTATTGGTAAACATTCAAGATATATATATATATATATTATTATACGAATAAACCTTGACGCATTTGCTTTATTATATGTTCATTTAGGATTATATATGGAGCTTTTCACGTTGCAGAATTTTTTTCTAATTACATTGTTCGCTGGGTTCCTTCCTACTTTCTTGTCAAAACAATATTCCTTATATGGTAAGTCAATGAACTAACCAATCAATTATTATTATTAGCACACAATTGATATATCTATTTATACATTAAAAGGCTTTCCTTTCCAACGACTCAAGGCGCAAAAGTTATTTACGAAAAAGCAGCTAGACCTATTGTTTCAGAATATGAAAGCGGCGATAAACTTAATGAGTGGAAACAGAAAATGGATAATGTTAAACAAAAAATTGAATCTAATAAGGAAGAATGAATCAATAAATAGTAATAAGAATAATAATACACATGTGTGTAATATGCATATGACATTCGTAGCATTGGATTTGTAATATTTTTTAATATATATATATATACATATATTTACCACATTCTAAAAAAATCAATAAAAATTCGCGCGTCACAATCCCTTATTTTTTGCAATATTAAAATTATGCATTAATTTACCCATTTAGTTTTTTGTTTGCCATACTTAAAATATCACCTTTTTACAAGAAAAAGTTTACTTATCACAAACTTATTCGCGGTAACCAAAAATAATAGTTATTTGTCATCCACAAAATTGTGGTACATGAATTGTCATACAACACTTGTGATGACGAATTTTTTTAATTAAAAATCAATAATAATTTTAAAAAAAAAATATGGAATTTTATCATGGCCTATCTGTTGACTTGAGCCATCTCTTAGAAGAATCTGATGATTATGATGTTATAATTTACGCTGGTAAAGAGCCAAACATCAAAAAGTTTCATGCTCACACAGTCATTTTACGTGCAAGGTCTCCTTATTTTCGTAGAGCTTTGTCAAGAGACTGGATTAGAAAAGAGAATGGTTCAATTATATTTCAAAAACCTAATATACCCCATCAAGTATTTGAAGTAATTCTCAAGTCAGTATCGTTATTATCATTTTGACTTTAGTCTACAAAATAAATTTACAATAATTTATAATTAATTAATTAATCCAGATATATTTATGGTGGTACAGCTAATTTATCTAAACAAGAGGGAGATGTTATTCTTAATTTGTTAACAGCTTCTGATGAATTGAATTTGGAAGAACTAATTGCATATGCACAAGATCATCTTATCAAACAAAAATCAGATTGGCTACAACAAAATCTTCTTGAAGTCTTATCAACGGTAGCCTATTTAGAACCATGTAAAGATCTCCAGGATTTCTGTTTGGGAATAATTTGCCAGGATCCTTGTTGGTTATTTAATTCAGACAATTTTTGTGCACTAGATGAATCTGTCCTGATCCCACTTTTAAAACGAGATGATTTATTGATGGAGGAAATAGAAATCTGGGAGCACTTGACTGAATGGGGTATAGCTCAAAATTTATCATTAAATAATAAGAATATATCAAAATGGACTTTGGAGGATTTTGATTTATTGAAAGTCACTCTTCAACATTGTATACCATTGATTCGCTATTTCAATATTGACTCAGCTGATTATTATGATAAGGTGAGACCTTTTGAAAAGATTTTGCCTGTTGAGCTAAAAGAAGATATTCTACAGTATTATATGAAAAGAGGGCAGGTTAATCAGTTGACATCAGTAATATTGCCACCGCGAATTATAGGAATTGATTCAAATATTATCAAGTTTAGACATATAGCTCTGATTTCAAAATGGATAGAACGCAAAGAAAATTATGTCGGTGTGACAAAACAAAGCAGAAAATTTAATTTGTTGTTGCGTGGCAGTAAGGATGGTTTTTCAGCTACAACATTTCATAACCAATGTGACAATCAGGGACCAACACTTGTTATTTTAAAAGTTAAGGGAACAGGTGAAATTCTTGGTGGGTATAATCCATTAAGTTGGCAAGGATATAATTCATCCTCAACAGAAAATGGCTGGATGGTTTCCGGTTCACCTTGGCCAGTAGTACCTAATCGACCAAGACATAATTCACCATTTGGAAGTTTTGGACGTTCATCATCATATGATTCAAGACCATATCAGAGCACAATTGACAGTTTTATATTTTCTTTGGGTGATGGACAAAATATAGCAAATTCAAAGTTAAGTAGAGTCTTGCAGGATAATATACAATTTGCTGTGTGTTCTTCTCAGAGACTTGGTCCATGTTTTGGACAAACAGATTTGAGAATGAATGATGGTTTTGACTTGCCAGCAAAATGCACATGTCAATGTTATGATTATGATAAAGAAATTTGTGAAACACAAAGTTTTTCAGTCGAAGAATTTGAAGTTTTCCGAGTTGTAAATAAAGATGATCCAGCATTAAATGCTCCATCACCTGCTCAACAAATACAAGTGCCTCGAGAAGTTCCAAATTATCCAACTGCTTGGTATGAATTTTTTAAATTTTCTTTAATATTATTATATATATGTGTGTGTGTGTTAACAATTTTTTTTTGTTTTTTAGGGGTGAATTTATACATTTTTAATTTATAGATGATAATACAAAAATGAACCTTATTTTAATTTTTATTTATCTTTATCTTTATATATATATATATGTTTGTGAATATGTTAAATATTTGTTGTAAATTAATTTAGAAATATCCAACATAATTTTTTTTTAACATGGATTTGATTTTGAATTTGAACATCCATTGAACATGAATTGCAGGTAAAAAAGCATTTATTGTTTTATTAAATTATTTTTTGTATAAATTATTATTATCTGTAGTAAAATTTTTTTTGTATAGTTTTTGATATTTATATTCATTTTTTCTTGTATGTTTTTTATTCTACATAAGTATGACCTTCGTAAAACGAACAAATAAATGGAAAGAATATTTAATTTGACAATTGATAATCATACAATCTAAGTAAATTTCTTTCAAGCATTGCAATAGTAACTTTACCAATAGCAGGAACAAATATACTAGCCTTTTCTTTAACATTATCATCAAAATTTTTAAAAGAAGAGAAATTTATAGCAATAGCACCATCACGTAATAAGTTTGTAGGTAATTTATAAGTTGATGTTGGAACTCCTGTCACAACTACATCTGAAATAGGAACCACGTCTTCTAATTTAAGATTTGTTTCATGAACCTATTTTAACAGATAAAAATTTTTTTTTTGTGAATAAACGTATAATTTTTATAAGAGAGAGAGAAAGAAAGATATAAAAAATCGGAGTCTTACTTCATGCTTTTTTAATTTTAATCCTGTGCCACGGTGAAATTCAAGAATATTATTTATATCAATAGAATATACCTTTGCACCATCATTTGCTAATAAAGCAGCAAGTGGACGACCAACAATCTCACTACGATTAATCACTGTTATTACACGTCCGTGTAATCTATTTCCATAAGGTAGGACTGAATTATACACTCCAATATATTCCAACACCTAAATTAATTTCCAATTATCCACCCAAAAAATTAAAATTATGACATGGTATTGAAATAAATAAATAATTAATAGTTATGTAATTAAAATAATAAATAGATGATTCTAGTTCTGAATAATTACGTGAAATGTGACGATTATAGATAGATTGATTCCCTGATTTTAGATTTTTTTCCACATTTATTATTTATACCTTAACTATAGCTAATGGCGTACATGGGATAATACATTTTTTAGTTTGTAGTTTATCCAGATATCGAATGTTATGATACATATTATATACATATTTGTGACATAATCCTTCTACATCTTTTGAAGGACTAACAACATTTTGAAGATATTGATCCTAAATATAATTAATATATTCCCAAAATTATATAAATATCTTTAAATAATAATCAATATAATGATTTTATCAAATAAAAAATATAGACCTGACGATCTCCAAATACAGGATAATAAATCATTATTCCATGTATGGTGTCATCTTCATTTGCCTCGACGACATTTTCTTCTAATGTTTCTCTATTACATTTTCTTAATTCAAATATAACACCTGTCTCTTCGCAAGTTTTAGCGGTTGCTTCTGCATATTTTATTGCCGAGGGATCATCATTTGCAAGAAAGCCTACGAGTTTTGGATGAATTTCTCGTGAATCTATTGTTTTTTTTATTTCCTCTCTAAATTATAAACATATAATTATGCAGCATGCATGTCAAAAATAATTGTTTTTTCCCTACGATAGTGTGGTTGTCGGTAATGTTATTAAGAAGAAAGCATATATATTTCTTTTCATGTTTACCTGAAACTTGCTGAAATTTCTTTAGATAATATTGTTTTACAAGACATTTTTGATTAAAAAAAAGAAGATAGATCGATCTACAATTCGATATTCTAGATTTTGTGCAGGCTTTTAATTTTATTTAACATATAACAATATACATGATATTTTTTAATTATTTATCTGTTCATTACTTCATCCAAAATTTTTGGAAAAATTGAATTATTTGCTGATGGAAATATTTTTAAATTTTCATAAGAATTCGATTTTAATATTTCTATGAAATCACTTTTAAGATATAATCTTTTAATTAATTGATTTACTTAATAATAATGATACCATAATAATAATAGTTGATATTTTTTACCAGGTTTTACTATATGCAAGAAATCCTTGACCATCAAGCTCAATTGCAAGCTCCATCTGATGATTATCCATCAAATCTTCATTTGCCACAACTATTAAAGATTTATTAAGTCTCAAGGATTCTAGAATTGATCCTGATCCTGAGAATCAATTCTTTATTAATTAATTTTAAATAAGAATTATTATTATTTAATATCATAATTATTATGGTTACCAGAATGACTTATAATTAAATTTGCATTTTTCATATCATGATATAAAGAAGGTTTATAGTCATATCCAATAATCTGAATTTCATATTTACTATTATTTTCCAGATTATTTTGGAATGCATTTTTGCTTTTCCCATATTGTACAATTAACTTATTAAATCCTTTTAATTTCAAGATTTCCAACGATTCATCTGACAATACTGTTTCAATTAATTTATCAAATCCTGTTGATCCAACAGTCACAAATACACTTTTATCCATCATCATTAATTCTAATAAAATTTTTAAAAAAATCTAATAATAAATTAATGGAAATTATTGATCAACTGATCGTTTCATTTTGTATTTAAAATATAAAATCAAAAATTTAAAGAAATAGCAATTTAGTTGTTTGGCATATATTCAAAAAAATAACCCTGTTTATGGTTTTGTGTAATATTTAACTTAATTTCCTTAAAATCTTTTTAGTATTCGTCTTTAAATAAATATTTCTGAAGAACCTATAAACATTTCATCAATCATACATACAGTCACCATAATAGTAATAATGTTTTTATTTAAAATCACAAAAATATCAATTAAATAATTCTGCTGTTTCATTTTTTAATCTACGGATTTTTCGAATAATTGATCGAAAAACTTTCCATCTAATTTTTTTAAAACATTATTAAGTTATCAAATATCAAATGATTACAATTAATAAAATAATATTATTTATTACCTGTAATCTATAACCCATATAGGTCAAGACTAATAAATAGCTTTGATACTCTTTCGTTAAATGACATGAAGATTTGTGTAAGTGATAATGTAGCTAGTATTGTAGCAGTAATGAGATATTTTAAAGACATTGAACATATTAAATGTGCAGCTGCCCATCCTATTCAGATGTCTGCAAAGAAAGGGTTTGAATTAATTGAGGTTTCATTAACAAATTAAAAAGATTGAATAAATAATGTTCCTTTTTTACTTTTTCCTCATAAATTATTTAGTATGAGTTTGAGAACAAACAGTATTTAAAAGATGATGGATTTGATGAAGAAGTTTCTAGGCTTACAAATATAACAATCGTGATCTTTTAATTCTAGATCAATAGCATAGTTTTTTGATAAGTTAAATAAGTGAGTTTATCTGATAAAGAAAAGGAGAAACTGATTTATCTCTAGTTCAGGATTCATTCAGCTAATCAATTTATTTTCCTGCAAAAATAATCCAGAAACCTGTCCTATTAAAGGTATGTTGACTTCAAATAAAGATTCATCAAAGTCTTCTATGCCATTAATGATTTGGTGCAATACAAATATCCAGAGTCACATTGACATATTTTCTGTTTAATAATATTCTCAAGGAAGACAAATTATCATCAACACTTGAATTTACATTTACAAATTGAAGCTGACATTTCAATAATATAAATTTATTATTTTTGATTAATTATAACAAAAACATTGTCAGGTATCATTTAATCATGACATTGTCAATGACACATTTTTGACATTTAACATTAGTAATTGTCAATAGTTCTATTTTACTTTATTTTATTGGACAAAATCATGTAAAAAGTCATGTTATTTGTAATACTTCAAGAAGTATAAATATGCTTGAAATCTCCTTCAGTGAAAAAAAAATTAATCAATAAAATAAATAATTGATCTTTCAATAATAACACTTTGTAATACAAATAACATCTTCATTAATTAATAAATCTGGCATTATTGATTGATTCATAATCCTTTCTGATGATTAATTATTAGCTAAGAACCCCTTTTATTAGTTTTACTATATTGATTTAGGGTCACCTGAAGTATTGTGGATGTATATGGTGATTTTATTTAGTTTGAACATTATTAGTTGTGTGCCAGATTTAGTGACTCTGCAACAGAGTAGAGTTTCTATTCGTAATACAAATTTTTGTTCGAATTATTCAAATCATTTGTTTATTCGAATTTTTATCATTCGTTTATCATTCGAATTATAACCATTCGTTTATTCGAATTGTTATCATTCATTTATTCGAATTGTTATCATACGTTTATTTGAATTATTCATTATTATTATCATTCATTTTGTTCGAATTATTCATTTTATTTGAACCATTCACTTTGTTTGAATTATTCATTTATTCATTTATTTGAATTATTACTCAAACTATTCGTTTATTCATTATTTGAACTATTCGTTTTGTTTGAATTGTTTGTTTTACTTGAATTATCCATTTTAATCAAATTATTCAAACTAATCGAATTATTCAAACTAATCGAATTATTCATTTTATTTTGAACTATTACTATTCTTTTATTCATTTTATTCGAACTATTCAATTATTTTGTTTATTTGAGTTTTGTTTGAAATATTTGAATTATTTGTTTTACTCGAATTATTCATTTATTTATTTTATTCAATTTATTTGAAAAAGACTTAACATTTGCCATGCCACGATCTCCTTCCAAAACTCGCAAGTCGTGTGACTTCCGCGCAGTTTTCTCGCCGATTGTCTCCTTTTGCGTCTAGCCGCGCCTGGTCTTTTCGGTTTTTGGCGCGAT